TGTTGTATGGAAACCAATTTGACAATAAATTTCATATGTTGAAACAAAAAAGAAAAGAAAGCCTGTTTAATATGAGGTCAGTTAAGTATTCATTATATTTTCTCCTATAGTTTTAATTTCATTTTTAAATATATGTTTTAAATAATGTATTTTTTCTTGCTTTTCTTTAAAAAAATGTTGAATCAGTACATTGTACACTTGAAACTAATGTAACACTGTGTGTCAACTACACTCAAATAAAAAAAGTTAATTAAAGAAAGAAAAATAATTGTCCCAGCATCTATTATTAAATAATGCTCTCCCTACTGACTTGTAATACCAATTACATGATATATTAAATTATTACATATAATTGAATCTATTTTTGTGTATTTTATTCTAAAATTCAGTTAACTTGGGGGCCAGCAAAATTTTAATTCTTATAAATTTTTTTTTTAATTGAGGCAAAAGTCAAATGACATAAAATTAACCATTTGTAAGTGTAAACTTCAATGGCATTTACTACATTCAATGCTGTGCAGTCATCATCCCCATCTAGTGGTAAAACATTCTCTTCACCTCAGAAGAATAGCCTCTTATTTATTAAGCAATCTCCTGCCTTGCCCTTTCCCACCAGCCCCTGTCAGCGACCAGTGTGCTTCCCATGTCTATGGGTTTACCTGTTATGGATATTTCATACAAATGGAATCATACAGTAGACCACTTTCTGTGTCCGGCTTCTTTAACTTAGCATGATGGTTTAGAAGTTTATCCGTGTTGCGGCATGTATCAAAACTTTTATTACTTTTGGTGGTTGAATAATATTCCATTGTATAGATATACCACACTTTATTTATATAGTAGTCCATTGAAAAATCTGAGGTTGTTTCCACCTTTTGGCTATTGTGAATACTGATGATATGAACATCTGCACACAATATATTGTTTGAATACCTGTCCTCTTGAAATCTTTTCTGTACATACCTCAGAGTGGAATTGCTGGGTTTTCTGATAATTCTAGGTTTAACTTTTTGAGGAACCACCAAAGCTGTTCTTTCAAAGTGGCTAAACCATTTGACATTTCCATCAGCAATGTCTGAGATTTTCGATGTCGAATAAAAGTGGCAAGAGCAGGCATCCTTGTGTGGTTCCTGATCTTAGGTTGAAAATTTTCAGTCTTAAACATTAAGTATAATGTGAGTTGAGGGTTTTTCATAAATGTCCTCTATCATGTTTTCTGATCTGTTTTTTGAGTATTTCCATCATGAAAAGGTGCTGGATTTTGCCACATACTTTCCACATCAATTGAGATGTTCACATGGGTTTGCCCCTTTTATTACTGTGGATATATTACACATTGATTAGTTTTGTTATTTTGAACCACGCTTACACTACCTAGGGGAAATCTCACTTTATCATGACATATAATTCTGTTATTATGTTGCTGGGTTCAGGTTGCTAGTATTTTGTGGAAGATTTTTGCATATCTATTCATGAAGTCATTGGTCTATATGCTGCCCTCATAGAATGGGTTGAAAAGTGTTCCATTCTCTTCCATTTTTTGAAAGAGTTAGAGAAGCGCTGGTATGAATTCTTCTTTCAATGCTTAGCAGAATTCACCAGTGAAGCCATTTCGTTCTGGGTTGGAATATTTTTGATTACTGGTTTAATTTATTTACTTGTTACAAATCTGTTTAGATTTTCCACTTCTTCTGAATCACTTTTGGTAGTCTATGTGTTCCTAGGAATGTGTCTTTTTCATCTTGGTTATCTAAATTTGTTGTTCATAGTATTACCAATTGTTCATAGTATCGTAGCCCCTTTTATTTATGTGAGGTCTATAGCAATATCCTTGATTCTCATAAATCAAGTCTTTCTTTGTCAGTCTAATCAGAGGTTTGTGAATTTGGCTGATCCTTTCTCAATTTTTTTTTTTCAACGTTTATTTATTTTTGGGACAGAGAGAGACAGAGCATGAACGGGGGAGGGGCAGAGAGAGAGGGAGACACAGAATCGGAAACAGGCTCCAGGCTCTCAGCCATCAGCCCAGAGCCCGACGCGGGGCTCGAACTCACGGACCGTGAGATCTTGACCTGGCTGAGGTCGGACGCTTAACCGACTGCGCCACCCAGGCGCCCCTGGCTGATCCTTTCAAAGAAACAACTTTTTAGTGATAGTTTCTTATTTTTTATTCCTGACATCACTGCACTAATCTTTATTATTTCCTTTCTTTTGCTAGCTTTAGCACATTCATTCTTTCCTAGTTCTGTAAGATACAGAATTAGGTTATTGGATTCGGATCTTCATTTTTAACATTAGCAGTTAAGGCTAGAAAGTGCCCTCTGAGCACTGCTTTTGCTGCATCTCACAGGTTTCGGTACTGTGTTTTCATTTTCATTCTATTCAGAGTATTTCCCAATTTCCTCTGTGATCACAGCCTTGAGTCACTGAGCTGTTTTGTTGTTGTTGTGGAGCATACTGTTAAATATCTACATGTATATGGATTTCCTGGATTTTTCTGTTATTGATTTCTAGTTTCAC